CAAATTTGAATGTTCACTCTAGTCACTTAAAGTAACCACACGCAAGGCTTATTTGCACATAACACATGCGCGTGGACATTCTGGTCACTGAAAGTGTCCACATAAAATAACAGAATTTTGAAAATCACTTTTTAAGTGTCAACTTTAGACGTTTGGAGCTCCTACTTCAGCCTTAGAAGCTTCTGGAAGGCTCTCCATGTTATTACTCTCAGTGATTAAAGTGTCAACATAGAAGAAGGCAAGAAAAATTATAAAAAGCGGTTGGAAGTTCAGATTTCAAATCTTTTCTAAGTTTTTCTCATTTTTTCATTTTCACATCTTAGGAGAGTTAGAAAGGGAGATTGGAGGCGACTTCCAAGCTCTAGACCTTGAGGAATCAGGTTGGAGATTAGATTTATAAAGAAATTCCACAGTTCCTCTTCTTCTACTCTTTCTCTCTCTTTTTCTTTTAGGAACATGTTTAGTTTTTTTTTTATTTTTTTATGGATTGATGGATCCAATTTTGACATTATAAATTGATTGTAGATCTGGATTTTAAGACTTTGATTGTATTGAACATTTAATTCTATCCTTAATGCAATTGTGAACTAATCATTCATTCAATTGAACTTAGAGAAATCTTCATCAATGGAAATTGAGTTTATTTCTCATATATGAATTGAATGTCAAGCTTATGGATATTTTAGGGATAAGAATTCATGATCTTGTGATCTCGTAATTTCTAATGCAATGTTTGATTGAATTACACCTAAGGAATTAGGATAGTTTAGTTAGATAATAATGAGGTAAGAAATTGTCCTTTGATTAATATAGTGAAATTGATCATCAATCAATTAAGGAGCTTACAGTTCAGATCTACTTTAGTTTTACAATTGATAAAGAGGTGAAATCAATTCTAACTTCATTCACACATTATTTCATTTCTAAATTGGTAGCTTTGTTTTGCTGTAATTTTTTGATTTTTTTTTCACTTTATTGCTTTTGTTTGTTAAATGATTCAAAATCTCTACAAATTCGTTTACCTCAACTAGTTATTGATTTGTGAAGTGGTAATTGATAGACTTAATTCCTGAGGATAATACTTGGGACTCACATTAATTTTCAAATTTTATTACTTACTAGTTAGTTTCCTCTAATTTTTGTGACAAGATGCTCCATATAGAAAATGAAAAGATAAGGAGAAAGTGGATCTCCTTGCCACAAACCACGAGAAGGTGAAAAGGAAGGTAACACTCACCATTCCATAATAATGATAATGAAGCATTTCTGATGCCCCACATAATGAGATTAATTGTAATGTGGGGAAACCCAAACCTCTCGAGAGTGGTCTCAAGGAACTACCAATTCACTCAGTCATATGCCTTCTCTAGGTCAAGCTTCAGAGCCATAGAGCCTACCTTGGAAGTGTCCTTGTGTATATAATTGAAAACTTCTTGGGCAAGGATACTGTTATCTCTAGTCCCTCTTCCCGAAGTGAAACTCCCTGGCCCAATGAGCTCACTAAGAAGAGGTCGTAGTCGTGCAACAATAACTTTGTAAATCGTCTTCCAACCTATATTACAAAGGCTAATATATCTGAATTCCTTAAGATTGACAGGGTGATCCACTTTTGGAATGAGTACTATTTGTGTTTCTAATAAGGAAATATCAGAGTAGCCATAAAGAAAAGTGTCACGAACAGTCTGTAACACCTTAAATTTAATTTTTAATAAATAAATTTCAAAAGAAAAATGGAAATAATAAATTTTTTCATCAAAGTGGTTCTCAGTGTATAAGTTCAAGCAAATATTTTAAAATAAGGATGATTTACAAGTTTGTATCAGTGATTGCTATAGGACTTAACTAATACATCAAATTTTCAAATAAATTCCTAAGTCCTATAGCAGTTTCATCCATCCTTCACTGAGTCCAGTACTGATCATCTTTGTCACCTGAAAAATAAATGTAAGGGTGAGTACTTTACACTATCCAACACATACATAACATAGAGACTCACCTTACACACCCTCATGTACTCTAACATATTCTACTCAAGTATAGGCAATCACAGGCAACACTTTCAAGGATTTCATTTCGATTCATAACCGATGCACTCACGGCACCAAAACATTTTTCATACACGTGTGTTTACTACACGTAGCCACACTCACTATGTCACCGTGATCACAGTTTCACACCATGAATGGTCGCCGATTACTCCCGTATCACAAATACCACGTGTGCGGTCACAAGTTGCTTGACAAAGGTATTGGTTAGAGGTCTAGTCAGGAGGAGAGTGTGTGACCTGTGGTGCACCCACGCTCACTGTTGGTGTCACCACCACTCACTCTTCCCCAAGGTATTTCTACCACCCCCATCTTCCACACCTCTAGTGTATTGCTGAATCATTCATAGCATATTCACAATTGCATTTAACATGCCCCATTCACACACATTTTAATTGCACATAATATTCATGTTCGTACACGGCACACAAGCTCATATTCATTCACAGCACACTTAAGCGTTAAATCCTCATCAGACATTACCACAATCAAATAACATTATTAAATCACTACTCAATGGCATGTCACAATACATAATCACCCACAATGGGTTCAACTATCTTATCTCACATCATATTGTATTCAACACATAATAATATCCTACCCTTTATCTCAGCCACATTGCAATATTTAGCAAAATAAACGGTAAATCAAACATAATGAGATAGGGTAAAGTTTCCCCTTACCTCGAATCGAAGACCTAACACAATCTAATGGTAGAAAATGTTCTTCACACGAATTTCATCCCTAAAACACATGAAAAACTCCATGAGAAATCAAAGGGAACTCAAAAAACAGAGAAGAGGGACGGAAACCGAAACCCTAACCATGGAAACTCACCTCCAAAAGCTCTAAACATGTTTCTAACCTTCAATCTTGCACCGAAACGACTTTGTAGGCAATTTAATTGGTAAGAATCATCGAAAGGGAGATGAAGTAAGAGGAGTGAAAATGTGTTTCCCAAACCCTAAACCCTTCAAATACCCCTCTGGTCATGACACTCTCGCTGTAGCAAGACATCTCTTGCTGCAACAATGCTTCTTATTGCTACAACAAAAATCTCAGAGGAATTTGCATTCTGGTTTCTGCAGAATCTCGCTACAACGAGACTATTGATAAGTGTATAAAATAAGTGATTTGAGATAGTGACTTGAACATCTTTTATGTTAAAAGTTAGATTATTTTGTTAAATTCCCTTCAAACTTGGAACTTTTACAAATACATATATATTTTTTGAAATGAATGCAATTTTACTGTTTTGAGCTCTTTTTGATCTATTTTGTAGCTGGAGTCACAAGAGAAACATCACTTAAGGTGGAAGAAGATTAGAAAAAGTCAGACGAAGAGTAATTGAAGCATGAAGTTGCAGAAAAGTCAGCTTCTCGAGGTTTCTCGTTGTAGCGAGACGCACTCGCTGCAGCAAGAATGCTATTAGGAAGACGGTGAATCTATGCTTTTGTCGCTACAACGAGATACCTTTGTGTCGCTGTAGCGAGAAATGTAGTTGCAGCGAGAAAAAAATAGAATGACCTAATTTCTATCTCTGTTTCTCGCTACAACGACAGTCCCTCGCTAAACCTTTTGTATCTCCATTTTTGTTGATATGGTTGCCATGAGTAGCTAAACCTTGTATGTGATTGAATGTAAATCTTCAAACGTGATGTATTTTCAGTAATTTATATAAATATAGCTATTTAGATCTAGATCTGATTGAGATTACTCAATAGCCGGTTGTTCTAGGAATAGATTTCTAGTTGTTGATTGCTTTTAAATCTTGATTTTAATGCTGGATAGTTTATTAACTATTTGAGAAATTAACATTTGAGAAATTATCTTAGGAATATATTTTTAAGAAATTGAAATATATGACTTCGTATTTTGCATCAGATTCATTGGAAATGGTTTATCACTGAATTACTAGTATATAGAGGGAGAAATAGATGAAATTCAATCACAATTTTTTAACTTGAATTTTACCATATTTTACTTTAGTGCTTTACATTTTAATTGTTATTTAATATTTCATGAAAATCATTCACCAATTCTATTGTATATAAGCTCAATTAATTTGTAACTTATTAATTAATACATTTGAATTGCTCTTTGAGGACGATATTCCGGTACTCTATCAGTTATTACTTGCAACAGACTCGGTACACTTGCTGTATTTGAAGGAAAAGAACCAACAAGTTTTTGGCCCCGTTGCTTGGGAGCAATGTGCAAATTGTATTAGTTTTTAAATATAATTAGTTGAGTACTTTAAGTAGTTTTAATTAATTTTTATTTATCTGATTACTCTTTATTGCTAATCTTGTTTTAAGTTCCTTGTTTATGATATTGCGAGGAAAAGTTCCTACAAATCAGTCGCTATTTGATCCAGAGATTGAAAGAACATCCAGAAGAAATAATAGTACAACAAGGAAGAAAAAGAAGCAAGCACAACAAGGGGCATCTTTAACTTCACAACCACTAAAAAATTACTCAGATTTAGAAAAGGAAGAAATGGCAGATCCTGGAGAAAATAATCAAGGTGGCAATGGGAATGGTGAAAATCATGGAGGCAATGAAGGACCAAGAGCAAATCTACCACCAAGAAGAACTCTTAGTGATTATGCCATGCATCAAGGTTTAAGGCACTATTCAAGTATAGTGGTTCCACCCAATGCAAGGGCTGTAGAAATTAAGCCTGCTTTCCTGAATTTGATAAGTTCACATCAATTCTTAGGAAAGGACCATGAAGAGCCATATGCCCATCTTGATACTTTTTATGAGTTGGTATCCACTATGGGATTTGATGATGATGAGGAAAAGGCAGCGTATTTGAAGTTATTTCTAGTTTCTCTGATTTGGGAAGCAAAAGAATGGTTGAAATCACATCCAAATCAGAGTGTGACAAGCTGGAGTGATGTAAAAAGAAAATTTCTTACCAGGTTCTTTCCACCTTACAAGTATGTTAGTGCAAAATCTAATATCTCCACTTTCAGACAAGGTCAGGATGAATCATTCTATGAAGCCTGGGAACGTTTTCAGTCTTTGCTTAGGAAATGTCCTAATCATGGGTTTGAAGATGTAGTTGAATATATTTTGCAATGGTCTTTGGCCTGACACTAAGATGATTTTGGATGCTGCTGCTGGTGGAACAATGATGGCAGTAGATGCAGAGCAAGCCACAAGAATAATTAATGCTCTCTCATCTATTGACAGACAAGCTCAGCATAATAGGAAGGCAGTGCAGAGAAGAGGAGTCTTAGATTTGAGCACATCAGACATCATCCTTGCTCAAAACAAAATTTTAACTCAACAGATTGAAGCCCTCACAAAGCAGATGACCAAGTTACCACAACAGCTTCATTCAGTTCACTATACAACTAGCCAAGCACTCAAATGTGATTTCTGTGGAGGGGACCATCAAAATGGAAACTGTGCTTACCCAAATCACAATACAGAAAATGAGGAAATTCATTATATGAGCAACCAACCTCGGGGAGGTAATTTTTCTAACCCTAACTCTAATTCTTATTCTAACAATTTTTCACAGGGTTGGAGGCAGAACCAAAACCAAGGATATGGGTGGAGACAAGAAGCTGGACTGTAACATCCTATATTTTGATTTAAATAAAATGAGGTTTGTTAAAGTATAATTGGAATAGATTTAGATAGAATTTACTATAAAAAAAAAAAAAGTGAACAGTAAAACCGCCCTATGAACAGTGTCGATGAACAGTACCCGCCTATGAACAGTAAACTGCATATGAACAGTGAAACCGCCTTTTTCCGGCGTGAATAGTTACCGCGAACAGTGTTTCCGGCGTGAACAGTAAGGCGATGAACAGTGTTTCCGGCGATGAACAGTAAATTCCGGCGGTGAACAGTAACTTCGAAAATTTTCTATAAAAAGGGGGTTGCAGACGAAATTTTCATTTCTTCACTCCTATCCAAGGTTCTCAAAGGTTCTAAAGTCATATCTCGCCATTTTCTCCCATACTAAACCTCCTAAACTTAGATTTTTCTTCAGATCTGTGATTCTACGTTCGATCTAAAGGATTACAAGTAAGTTTTTCTAAGTTTGAAGTTAGATTTACCGTTCGTTTCTCTTCTTCTTCTTCTTATAGATGTTCATAATGTTCTTAGGAAAACCTCCGTTCTAGAGTTAAACTTCGGTTAAATCCTTGTAAAAGCTCTGTTTTGAGGTAAGCGAGGCTCTACTTTATCATTTCGTTATGTTTATTACTTGTATTCTCATAGATCTTGTCATGAATCCCTGTTTTATGAGAAATAATCGGTGAAAAGTGAGAATAATTAGTTGTTTATGTGATTTTATGATGAGTACATGGTGAAATTGGGATATTATGTTCAAATAGGGCATGATAAGGTATATTGAGGATGGTTGATATGATTTTATGATTTTGTGATATAAAATATACGAAGAGATGGATGTTTCATGTTTGAATATATTGTGTTTTATGTAAAAATGATGTGTATTGTGAATGTGCCATGGTTTGATGTATATGATGAAAAGTATGTGGAAATATAATGAAAAATATGTGTAAACATGATAAATGGCATATGTGAACATGTGAATATGCTCAAAAGAGTATGAGATGGAAAAAGGTATGATGTAAATAGTTACAGAGATACACTGGGGAAGTGGAAGATGGAGACGATATGGGATATCTTGGGGAAATGCAGGGTGGTGAATGACATTCGGGATTGTGCACGGAATATTATGTTCGAATGCACCACATGGCCACACACTCATTTCTTGACTTGACTCCTGACCATTACCTTTGCTAAGGGGCCGTCTATTGCATGCGTTGTATCCGTATTGCATTGGGCCATCCGACGACTATTTACATGAATGTGTAAGACCTCGAGATAGAGGCATCGGATAACTGTGGCCACAGGGCGCGGTAAGCGCGGATAAAAGTAAAAGAAATTGTGAATCTGTGTAATGTAATGCGCGTTGAGATGAGAATATACTTTATATAACCTTGTGATATGTAATGCCATGATGTTTTCGTTAATCGTGATAAGATGTGTTTTGTGAAGAATGTATATGTTATGTATGAGTGGTAGGGTAGAGACTCACCCTTACACAACATTTTTCAGGAAACCAGGACGAATAGTACCAGGCTCACAGTGTATGGATGGATGAGAACTGCTATAGGACTTAGTTATTTTGAGTTATGTAATGAATATTTTCAGTTCTATAGCGTTCTTTTGAAAATGTTGTAAAACTACTATTCCTCTTTATTGCTGATGAAAACTTTAGAATCTTTGTTTTCCTAAAGTACTTATGAATTAATGAAATTTTACTCTATGAACCTTATATCATTTCAATGTCTTTTCCTTATCCGAAATTTGAAGGAAAATTTACTTTACCATATTAATTTTTATGAAAATTTATCATGTATTGAGGAAAGAAATATAAGGTGTTACAATTTTGGTATCAGAGCAGTTCATCCAGACCAGACTGGGGTATGGGACTAACATGTCTATGTTGTGTAATAGATATACTAGAATATGAAATGATTATTTGCTAATATGACTTGTTAGATGTGAATTACGTGAACTAGATCTATCTATGATAGATTAATAAGTGATTTGAGTTTATTGCATGATTAGAGAGCTATGGCTGCTAGAGGTAGACCTGCTGGTGCTACAAATGAACTCCTGGAGCGCATGACCCAAGTCTTAGAGACTTTGGCACATAACCAGGAGGCTGAACCAGCCGAGTATAGAGGACTTTCTTCTTTTACTAGGCATAACCCTCCGAAATTTGAGGGAAAGTTTGATCCTGAGGGAGCTCAGAGATGGATAGCAGATGTGGAGAAGATTTTCCATGCCATTGGATGTAGAGAGGAGCATAAGGTAACTTATGCTACTTATATGCTGAGTGGAGAAGCTGAGGACTGGTAGAGATTTGCTAGTCAAACTCTACTGCAAGAAGATGGTTATATTCCTTGGGAGACATTTAAGGCAACTTTCTTGGGAAATTATTTCCCTAGAGATTTAAAGAAACAGAAGGCTAGGGAGTTCCTTGAGTTGAAACAAGGAAACATGTCTGTAGGTGAATATGCTGCTAAATTTCATGAATTGATGAAATACTGGCCTCACTATCAACATAATGATGGAGAGGAAGATCTATGTGCTCAATTTGAACATGGGCTTAGGCCAGATATTCGAGCTGCTGTTAGTGTATTCCAGCTGACAGATTTACCCACTCTAGTGAGTAAATGCAGAATATTTGAAGCCAATACTAAGGGTAAGACAGTGGATACCAGAATCGGTGGTCCTGTGAGGCAAGACCGAAGGCCTCCAAGATTTTCTAGAGGACCTTACTCTAGTCCAAATCAGTCTCAAGTGAAGGGGACTGTATCTCAAGAAGATAGTAGTGGTGGTTCAGGTTCTTTCAGAAGGCCACTAAAATGTTTCAAGTGTGGTGGACCTCATATTAAAAAGAATTGTCCTCAACTTCCACCAACATGTGACATTTGTGGGAAAATAGGACACTCTGCTAGTGTCTGTTGGTCTGCTCCACAAAAGAGCGGAAGCATGAGTGTGGAACAAAGACCTGAATCTAGAGCAAGCACTAGAACAAAGCCAAATGTGAAGGGCAAAGTTTTTGCTATGAGTGGAGCCGAGGCTTCAAAATCAGAGGAGCTTATTAGAGGTAAATGTATCATAAAAGACCGACTTGTAGATGTGTTGTTTGATTCTGGTGCTACTCATTCCTTTATTTCTGTGGATTGTATGAGATGTCTAGAATTACCTGTATCTGAATTGTTTTGTGATGTTATTGTATCTACTCCTACGGGTAAGCCCGTAGTAACTTCTTCTGTGTGTTTAGGTTGTCCTGTGATGGTACATGGTAGGAGTTTTAGTATAGATTTGATTTGTTTACCTCTTTCCCAACTTGATGTAATTTTGGGAATGGATTGGTTGTCATCCAACCATGTTCTATTGGACTGTAAAGAGAAAGTCTTGATTTTTGGCACTAAAGTATCAGAAAGTGCCAAACTCTTAGGTCCAGATCCATTGGAAAATGTAATGAGTGCTAAGGCTTTCATGGTTCTATTTTCAATTGAGACTGAAAAGGAAATGAAGCCTGAGTATATCCCAGTGGTTAGAGATTTTTTAGAAGTTTTCCCTGATGATGTTACTGAATTGCCACCGGAAAGAGAGATTGAGTTTACTATTGATCTCATTCCGGGAGCAAATCCTATTTCTGTTGCACCATATAGGATGTCACCAGTGGAGTTGGCTGAGGTAAAGAAACAGGTAGAAGAATTATTGCAGAAAAGGTTTATAAGGCCAAGCGTGTCACCTTAGGGAGCACCTGTTCTTTTGGTGAAAAAGAAAGATGGGAGCATGAGGATGTGTGTTGATTATAGGCAATTGAATAAGGTAACAATAAAGAACAAGTATCCTATTCCTCGAATTGATGACTTGATGGATCAGTTACGAGGAGCTTCTGTATTTTCAAAGATTGATCTGCGATCTGGTTATCATCAGATCAGAGTCAAGAGTGAGGATATTCCCAAGACAGCGTTTAGAACCCGATATGGCCACTATGAGTATCTTGTTATGCCATTTGGTGTGACTAATGCTCGTGCAGTATTCATGGACTATATGAATAGAATTTTTCATGAGTTTTTGGATAAATTTGTTGTAGTATTTATAGATGATATTCTGATTTATTCTAAGACTCATGAAGAACATGCAGAACACTTGAGAATTGTTTTGCAAATACTAAGAGAAAGACAGTTGTATGCAAAATTCTCTAAGTGTGAATTTTGGTTACCACAAATCCAATTTTTGGGACATGTGGTATCGAAAGATGGCATTATGGTGGATCCAGTAAAGGTGGAGGCAGTGGCTCAATGGCCAAGGCCTACTAATCCCAGAGAAATTCGCAGTTTTCTGGGACTAGCTGGCTATTATAGGAAATTCATTGTAGGATTTTCTAAAATAGCTTTTCCTTTGACGAAGTTAACAAGAAAAGGAAAGGAGTTTGTGTGGAATGAAGAGTGTGAAGCTAGTTTCCAAAAGCTGAAAGAAA